GTTTCCTGTCGCTTGCGCGGTGAATCGTGTCACCTGCGCTGTGCGAAGATGCAGAGGAAACCATATCTGATGGGGAAACGCAGCTTGATGTAACACCAGTATTTCCATCTGGAAAGCGCTGTTTTGCCGCTGGAGTCCTCCTCACTCTCCATCCTCCCCTCTCTCATGACGCGCGCACAAGTCCTATCATGAAAAAAGGTTAATTGTGCGACCTGAGTAACTTACAGTTATAGTTACAATGAGAGTAATAATTTTGATTATTCGTTACTAAAAAAGGCAGCGGCGTTAGTAACGCCGTTACTTTCAACGCCATTACTCCCATCCCTGCTAATCAGGGCTTCCAGATGCAGAAAAAAAAACAACAGGCATTAAGCTTCAACACACTGCAAAGCAGAACCATCGTGTGGCACAGTGCGGAAGCTAGGATTTTTATGAATGTCTGAAGTTTCCTGATTACGGAAGCTGCTGTAAGGAGAAGATGCTGTCTGTTCAGGCGCTCTTTGTTATCAGAGAACCGAGCCAGAACTGAGCTACGCTGATGAACTAGTACAATGTTAGCACGGTTCGGTTGTGTCTGGAGCGGTCCGGTTCAGTTCTGCGTGCCATTAACACTCAGCAGTTGTCTTGGTTACCTTGCTCGGACCAATCTCGGCACGGTTTAAAAGGGTACTGTAAATGGGGCTTATCCACATATTGTTCTGTTCTTAGCATAGAGTCGACGCTCTGATGGGTTCATGGACACCTGCTGACATAGTGATGTAAAGCTGTGTGTCGTCTGCATAGTTATAGTAACTGAGCTGGTTGTTTGCTATAATCTGAGCTAAGGAGAGCATGTAGATGTTGAATAGGAGGGGCCCCAGAATGGAGCCTTGAGGGATGCCGCATGTGTTTTCTCTGGTCTCTGATTTAAAGTTCCCTACTGACACATAGAAGTCCCCTTCTTTCAGCTAGGATTTAACCAGTCCAGTGCTGTACCAGAAAGGCAGGCCCAGTTTTTCAGACACTCTAATAAAATTGAGTGATCATCACTATCAAATGCTGCACTGACGTCCAGTGCTGGTATCTACTGTGGTTCTTCAAGAGTCTGAATTTATACGGATATCACTGAACACCTTAATCAGAGCAGTTTCTGTACTATGGTTGGCATGGCAACATGACTGGAAGACATCAAAGCAGCTGATCATTGTTAGGAAGGGATTTAAATGTTGAAACACAACTTTTTCAAAACTTTTACTGATAGAGGGAAGGTTTGAGATGGTCAGGTAGTTCTGCAGAACCAATTTTTCCAAGTTTCTCTTTTTCAGCAATGGTTGGTTTGGAAGATTAGGTCCTCCGGTTCTGCGACCGGTTTGATATATTTCGACCTAACAACTCGGAACGCATGAAAATAACAACAGTTAAACCTTTACCAATATAGATATGTTAGACATCATTAGAACGCTTAAATTCTTCACAATTCAACCATCAATTTCATTTTATGGACACAGCGAGCATCAAAGCCCAATTAACGCAGATATAGCAGCATGTCAAAATGTAAACACGACAAAGAGCCATGACAACGTACCTTTGAAGAGTTCCAGAAGCCATAATATAAATCCAATCGTTTATAAGTCCAATTATTTAAACTCCATTCATCCATAAGAGTCCACAGATTAAAAGTAATCCAGCATTTTCATATTGCAAATTTTTCGTGATAAAAAAATGGCCACAAAACGTGTTTTTTTTTAATGAAAAAAAGTTTGCTGGTCATAGCTAATGCTTAACAACATGTTAATGAGACTTACTTCCTCAAACATTTGCCTACGATGTTGGGTATGTTTGTTTTCATCACCTTGCTGCCTACAAAACAAGTGTCAATGCCAATGACACAACGAGTAGCGCTATATTATGCCTCATAGAGTCCTGCTGTTATTGGTTAAGACCTCATGCCCTGTTTGGCTTTGTGGCCAATGAAATAAGGTTTCAAACAAGGCTAAACATTTGAATAGTGCAACAATACATTGCTAGCCTGGGTGCCATTCCGAACTTAGTCCCGCCCACAACGTTTGAGGTCGGGAAGTTCGGTCTGGCATTGCTCAATAGTAGCGTGAGTATGCTAGCACAATATCTGGCGGGCCAATCAAATTGTCAGGGCGGGCTTTATACGATGATGGACAGATGATCAACAGTAACGTAATCAACCACGTCACCAAAGCGCGCTTGGGTGACAACAACAATGGCTGCCGCTGGAGAGTTGGGGTGAGTAGATTCTGCTATTAGGTCTGTTCTAGAAGATATCGACAGCAAATTAATTTTAAAAGAGGAACAGAGAAACGCGATCAAGGCTCATCTTCTTATTCTAGGCGTGAAACTGCACGCTTTGATTTTTGTTGACAACAACTATGCCTCGCTTAACATACGTCACGCACTCCGTTGCTCTTATTGGTTGTAGGTCTATCCAATTGAGTGCAGAGGCATTTTTTTTCCTGCTTCGTTCGAAACACGCCCCATAATCACAGCTCTATGGAGCAGTATCAGACTCATTCTGACTAGAATTGAGTCGGACTACGTCAGGCTAATACATTGCAGGGCATAAACAGCACACAGATACATTAGTGACTGGAACATTGCACACTGTTAGATTAAAAGGAAAGTTAGAAAAAAGAATCAAATATTTGCTTCAAAATGCTTCAGTGTGATTTCTGGGATAAAATTATTGTGTAAATTGGAATTTTATGGAATAATTATGTGATCCAAGGACATTTATCATTTCAGATATTTTAAAATAATAATTTAGTAATAAATAAAAAGATTTTATATAGTAATATTAGATATGTTTCCGAGTTATTTAAATGATGAAAAACTCTTTGCAATGCAGCTGGGTTTTATTTTGGCATTTTCAGCGGGTCATTTCCCTGAATGTGTCACACAGCGTTACATCATAAACAAAGGGATTAATTACTAAATACAGCCTAACAACACGTCGCAAAAGAAGAGTCTAAACAAACAATTAAAACCCAAAGAAAACCAAAGCATCGTGGCATTTGAAAGTCCTCTGTAGAGGAGAACAGCTTTGTTCTACAGCACAGAGAGGCCCAGGTGTTTGTATTATTAATGTCAGTATCTGGGGCATCCTCCATACCAGCATCTCTGATCTCATATCAAAGGCTGGTTCTGTTCTGTATTTCCTGAGGAGGGAGTGATTGAAAACATCCTGATTAGCTGTATTGCTCAGAGCTACGGCATCCTGAAGGTTGTGGATTGCAAATACCACCAGCCGGTGGAGAAGATCTTGAGATCTGCAGAGCATCGCAGTGATGCTCTGATGATTTGGACCAAAGCGCAGACCAATTAAGGGTCATAGCTACAACGTATTTATCAAAATGATTATTTTTCCAAAATAATACTTTCACAGACCGTCTAGAGTGGTGAATGAAGGTATTTCACCCAAACAACATTTCCATTTAAGTGATTGTTTTATAAATTTTGAAGGGTTCAAAGAGTATTAAATTTACTACTGGTTATGATGCCAATGTTTAAACAAATGGACCATGTGAAGTCATGTGAGATGGAGCTCAGGCGTTGACAGATGCTGAGAAATGGCTTCATTACAGCATTTATTTCTCACATTCAACCCCCCCCCCCCCAAAAAAAAAAAAAACGTAAATAAAGATTTGGGCTGAGTTAAATTAGCATTAGCAGACCTGGCAACCGGCAGGCAAATTGTACGGAAAAATAACAGACAAGTGCTCCACCTACTGGGCTGGAGGATGAGTTAAACTTGTAGCTATCACCTTCAGTAAAGGTAGCAAACAACGAAACAGAGTTGCAGACATGAAGCCAATCTGAGGACCTTATGAATACTGACAATTAACTGAAAATATGAAGAAAAACAGGAGCAAACAGCAAAATGAGGAGGCACTGTTGAACTGAATCTACTAGTTAACTGCCTGGTGGAGAGAGAAATTATTAAACAGGGAAAACACAAAAAGAAAGTAGAACATACTCAATAACTTGAAACACAAAGAACTGAAAACAAAAAGAAATACAGTTTCTAGTTTATTCCTCAATAGTTTAAGTCACGATTAAGAAGGACCCAGTATTCATGCAGCACAGACAGTGGGATTACTCAAAAGCGCTTATTTAAGCCTCGAACAGATCTGTGGTAACTGCGGTTAGGGCATCTAAGGCAGGAAACTCTAGGTAGAGGAAACACGGGTTACTGACCATGTAAATCTAAGGAAGATTATAAACCTGAGATTGGTTCAGTCCATAGTCAGAGGGCGAGGAAGGATCCAGCTGGTTGGCTGCCAACAAGATGGGACAGACGCCACCCAGAGTGTCCCAGAGGCTGCAGCACCGGAGAACAGGCAGGAGTCCGAAGCCAGGTCAGGCAAACTGATCAGAACAGAGAGACTCCAGGAATCCAAAGACAATTCAGGCAAACAGTTAAGATGGTAACCGGCAGGCTTAGCAGTTGAGAGGTAGAACAGGTCAGGGTCAGGTAATCAGAAACACTAAGGTACTCTGAAATCCCTCTCACCACAGGCTAGAGAGAACAAGAGAAACGTGGCGCTGATCACTGGATGCAAGAAGCTTAAATAGTGAAAGCAGCAGGTGGATCAGATGAGAGGTAATCGAAATCGGGCAGGGTTAGATAGGTGAATGGAATGAGTAATTAAACCAGTCATCACAACAGTTTTTTGAGGAATAAACTAGAAACCGCCAGGAAAAGGTAGTAAGCATAGATTTTATGGCAAACTCCAAATGGCAGAAATGGATGATAATCTCCCGGAAATCAGTTTTTGGAACTTGGGATGTCTGGATTAGGGCTAAATCCAGGGTCAAATGGTTTTCAGTAGGTTTGACAATTTTTACACAATTCTGGCACATTCCTCGCACTAAGATTATGTATGTCTCTGTTTATATTTGCTTTAGTGAGTTTTTTCATATTAGACAGAGAACAAATGATTACTTTCTACAGCCTCTTTCCAACTGAAAATAGCAGGTTAATGCTTGTTTTTTAAACATGGGTCGAACCGCTAACAATCAGCGTTCGGCTCCATTCCCACTGGCTAATAAAGCTGGTCTAACCCCTCGCTGGCAGCTGCGTGCGTCATGATTTTCTTAAGAGATCTGACCCACATTCAGTAAACCACTCAGAGAACCAGGGTAAAAGTTTAACAAGTTTATTGAGGAGATGAACGGGGGTTGGATTCAGGAAACTCTGGGTACTTGTGAACCGGAACTGGAAGAGGGAAGGGAAGTATCAGCGGTTAGTTCAGGGTCCGTGGGAACTTTGAACGATGACTTGGAGAAACAGAGGAAACAGGTCTCCCTGTGGTGGAGAAAACTTTCTTCCCAGGATCCAGTCAGTGTGGGTTTTTCCAGAGAAAGGTGCTCGTTGGAGGGCGGACAGGTTTAGACTTGGTTGGCTTCTGAGGAGCTATGAAGCAGACTGTCACTCGGAAATCCAGGAGGTCTTGAACGGAAGTTTGAGTCTGTTTGAGTCTCACACTGAGCAGGTTAATCCCCTGCTCAGTGTGAGACTCAAACAATCCTACCAGGGGTAGAAGGCCAAAACATTCAGCTTGTAGGATGATTTCCTGCCGAAAGGCAAAGACAAAATCTCAGCTTGGCTAGAGTACCCAAAACTGGCAAACACTCTGGCGTCGAGGTAGTGACAATCCATCGCACAAATAGTCCTCAGTAATGAGCCAACCAGCCGCAGGTGTGTGGGAGGACCAACGAGAACAGG